TATATATATAATATATATATATGCTTTTTTTTTCAAATCACCCACCATCTAGCACAAAATTGACATGTAATGGCATTCAGTAAATTTTGCTACATAAATGTTTAGTGGTATATTTATAACTGCATATGTGGACATTGCAAATGATATAAATCAACTAACCTGAAAACTTTTTAAGGCTCCTTTCCTATACAAGGCTTATTTATTACGCACATAAATGTGAACAATAATCATTTGCTAAATAAACTGAAATTAAATAACTTTGGTGAGAATATACCACTAAGTTTAAGACAATCCATTTCCATTTTAGCTAGAGATTGTCCTTATTTTTCACTAGTATTGTCTTTTCTTTGGGATGAATTTTTTTCTGAAGCTTCATGAAGCTTTGAGGATAAATTTAATCCCTATTCCACATGAAAGTTATTCAAGTATTTGAAAAATGGCTATCATTTTTCCCTAAGTCTACTCTTTTTTCAGACTGAACATTCCTTTAATCATTCTAATATGAGATGGCTTGTAAGGCCTCTCACCATATTGGATAGATTCCAGTTTGTCCATTTCTCTCCTAAATGTGGCAACAGAACTGAATGCATTACTGGAGATGTGGTCTAATTATGCAAAGTACATGGATCCTGGTGCCTGCCTTGTTCTGGACTTTATTTCTAATAATTTAGAATTTTATGAAGGCAGGAAGTACACTCTGAGGAGGGGATGGCATCATTATCATATTCTTAGTTCTTGAACTTTTACAAAACTGAAATGTCTAAGTCTTTTTCATACCAAATTTTGTCTAATTAAATTTCTTGCATCTTGTTCTTGTTGCATTTGCTGCTTTGGAGGGAAATAGAGGACTTATATTCACCCATCCTAGAACTCATATTTGGTACTGGCCCACTGTTCTAATTAGTTGTGGCATTTTTTTTAAAAAAAAAGATATTTTTATTGATTTCAGAGAGAAAGGGAGAGGGAGAGAGAGATAGGAACATTAATGATGAGAGTGAATCATTGACTGGCTGCCTTCTGCACGTCTCACCATAGAGACTGAGCCCACAACCCGGGCATGTGCCCTGACCAGGAATCGAACTATGACCTCCTGATCCCTAGGTCGACGCTCAACCACTGAGCCATGCCTGCTGTCCTATTTGTGGCATTTTTGAATCCTGATTTTGCTACCCATAATTCTGGTTACCAATTTCATTTTGTGTCATTCTTTAAAACACATCTGAGTGGGTCAGGCACTATACCAGGCAGTTATGATACCAAGAACAAGAAGACATGGCCACTTTCCCAAAAATGCTCATGGCATAGCAAGCAAGGACACTGCCGGTATAATTACTATGCCTTCCATGATTTCTTTCAAATCATTGGCAACTAAAAGTGGCAGTGCATGTCTCAGAGATCTCTCTTTAGATTGACAGCAATCAATTAGCTTTAGTTAATGGGAATAAAATATAACACCTACCATTTTAACTGAGTATTTATTTAAGGATAGGTTAAAAAGCACTCCATGTCATTTAAGAAGCACACGTCTTTATGATAGCTAGTTTTAAACCCTCATTATTGTTGAGGGAACTAAATTTCAGAAAGTTTCTAAAACTTGCCCAAATTTACATATCTCATAAGTTGTGGAGCTTCAATTTGAACCCCCAAAGCTCTGTGACTCCAAAGTTTATTTTTAATCATTGTTAGGAGGTAATTCTTTTGGAAACTTCCTAGCAATACTATAAACTATCTCTGATTTATCTTCTAGGAAGGTATGATTATTTTGATTAAAAGACTTGCCAAAATTCAGTTATACTCTCTTTTGAAGAACAAAAGTTAGTTAGTTTGCTTGGGGTTGCTTTGTTGTTAGTGAACCCATACTGGTTCTTAATCATCACTGCCATCTTCTCAAAAGGCTCACTTTTCCTTTCCTTGGGACTGATCTCAAACTCATTGTTTCCTGTTCTCAGAATCTTTCTTTTCTTCCTAATAAAATCAGGTCAGCATTGACTCATCTCAAGTTTTCTTAACTCGGCCCCATTTTTCATGATACCTCAAAAATAATTGGCAAGGGTTCCATGGGCACCCTTGGACTTCTTTCTTTCCTGAAGATAGTAGAACATATTCATGGAGCTCTCTGCTTCACCTGCTTGGGGTTCACTTACCATAAGGGGAGTTATTGGAAGTAAAGTGAAGACTGAGTTGTTCTGGACTAAGTCTTACACATACAACACACTTCAAAAGTCTTTGTTGGAAAAAATCTACATAGTGGAGAGGGGGAAAACCCCCTGCTTTATAAAAAAGAGAAAGACCACTATTTTTTGCCCTCTCGGAAAGCAGCACATATCACACATGAGTGGTTCTTTTATTAAGCAAAACAACTAGACAAATCTGGATGAGACTCAAGTTGAGAAAGTCAAGGTCCTGGGCACAGCCTGATGGCAGCACTGGATAAAGAGAGGGCTAAATGTCTCTCTAATAAATTATGAACAATTTGTCAGTCTGGGAAACAAGACTTGGACATGGGAAGAAAGGAAGAGATATGAAGTGGTGTGAGGTGTTGCCCAAGAACGTGGCAGAAAGCCCAGAACACAACAGAGGAATTGAGCCAGGGAGAATTTCTGAAGCTACTCATACTCAAATCTCAAAACATAGATGCCTCGGTGCTGGGCTAGCCCAAGAGACGACACAGAAATAATAATATAGGATGGGGCCCTTTTCTTCAAGATAGAAATATTAGTGGATAATCCTAATTTTGTAAAATAAAAATAAAAATCTTTAGAAGAGGCAAATAGTTTCTATTTGGTAACTTTTATAATTACACTTTGAGAGGGTTTTAGAAAGTAATAAAACCCATATCTTCTTATAATGTTCTTTCTATTGATGTGATTTTTCCCTAGTAGCACTTTTATTAATATATTTTTAAGAGCTGTATTTATTCTTTTTATGGACTATCCTACATAATAAAAGGCTAATATGCAAATGACCGAATGGTGGACTGACCGATCACTATGATGCACGCTGACCACCAGGGGCAGACACTCAACGCAGGAGCTGCCCCCTGGTGGTCAGTGTGCTCCCACAGGGGGAGCGCTGCTCAGCCAGAAGCCAGGCTCACGGCTGGCGAGCACAGCGGCAGTGGTGGGAGCCTCTCCCGCCTCTGTGGCAATGCTAAGGATGCCTGACTGACGGCTTAGGCCCACTAAGCCATCAGTCAGACATCCTCCCAGGGCTCCTGAACTGCTAGAGGGTGCAGGCCAGGCTGAGGGACCCCCCCCCAAGTGCACGAATTTCATGCATTGAGCCTCTAGTTATATATATTTATGACATAGGAATGCTTCAGATTATTTCTGGTAGGTAAGCATAGAATGAAAGAAAGGTACACTTTCAAGAAAATGTAGAATCCCCCAAATGTGAAAGATTTTTTAAAATGTCAATTTATCCAGAAAAAACTAAAGTGTCAGTTTCATATGAATTTCATAGGACTAACCAAAGAATTAGCAATACATAAAGGCTTTTGAGATATTTTTTCCAGAACAACACTGTATATATGCACATTGATCATATTATCTTTAATGTTCTTAATAAAAATATGTTTATTAATAAAAATAATCAATTCTGATGGAGAATATTAAATAATCTATATATTATATTATTAATATAGATACAC